ATATGGTGAGGGGCGGGGAGGCTTGTTTAATCTCTGAGTCGTAGTTTGATCTGTGAATTTCATACTGATACAGAAGGGAGGTGTCACCACTCTCTCTCCTCTCTCTCGCTCTCTCTCTCTGTTTCCCTCTCGGTTGCTGTGGCGACGCCTGCCGCAGCTCTTTGCCTCTGCAGACTCCAGCGGCAGCATCTGTGCTGAGCAGTGAGCGTGCTAACTTGAAAGCCAAACCAAGCTGCACGTGTTACATAACGTGTTGTAAGTGCTTTAACTGCTCGTAAGCACGGGAAAGAAAGTAATAAAAGAAATCAATTCCTTTCATTCCCTTGTTTATTAATGAGCCTGTCACAACACAACAAAGGACTCTCAAGTCAATTCCTAACACACTCTCCCTCACACACTCACCTGTTGCTTGTGCAGCACCTGTTGGAGCAGTGCTTTGTCACAGTAACATTGTCGACCCCCCCCCTCGCTCTGCACCCTGCTGACATTTACCTATCTTCTGTTTTATAACCTCTTATAATAGCACAATTAATCAGACGGGCCACACTGCTCTTATACAGCTCACTGACCTCTTCATTTTTTATTCTCCTGTGCAGCTCTCCCTCTCGCTCTCACCATGAGACAGGGAAAAAACTCCTGGTTTGTCGTTGTTTTTAAAGCTGTTTTGAAACACTGTTCAAGAAATCTGCAGCTAGTTTTTTAAATGGTTAATGGACTGTACTAATTACTGTACATGTCACCTTCACTCATTTACACACACATCCACACACTGATGGCAGAGGATGCTATGTAAAGTGCATATCAGTATTAACTAATCACATCGCCACTAGGGAGCAATTTGGGGTTCAGTGTCTTGCCAAAAGGACACTTCAACTCAGGACTGAAGCACAAACCTTACCATCACCAACTCTACCACACTAACCACCTTGTATAGAAAACCGGACAAGTTCAATTCAAATAAGTCCTTCAGAACTACCAACAGGCCCCTCTGATGGCCTTCTCTGGCCCCGCGCTTCGTTGCTATGAAAGCTCTGTAATGGTTCGTGTTGCATTGTAACATTTTGATTGCAGTTAGTCACTATTACACCTGTATTTTATGATCCCTTCCACATTTTGTCCTTCATGTCACTGTTTCTCGTGTTGTGTTATCTCACGAGTTGTTGGTTTAAAAAAAAAAAAATGCAAGCCTCTGCTGCTTACTCAGCCTCTTGGGACACTATACATTCCTCAAAAAAAAAACCCTCTTAACCGAGGCTCTGTGGAGGTAAACTAGAGAGCATTTGTACAGTAGAAGCTCTACAACGCTCAGCTGTGCACAGCAGGATGCACACAGCAGATACTCTTAAAAAGCAGCGTTTTGTCATGACCTTTCCTGTTCCCCTGGGAGGATTCAAAGATATTTACTGAGAGTCCTAAGAGAATATGTTTTTCTTTAAATAAGTGTTAGGATTTTTAAAGCCTGTTTCAGTTGTCCTCTTTACAGTCGGCCATCATTTCTATGCACTGCTTTTTATTTTTTTGCGCACATTTTTGAAAAAAGAATCCAAATCGGTTGATTGTTTCTGTGCTGAGACACAATTCAAGATGGCAGAGTGGAACAACTCTGGAGCAAATGTTCAGGCTGTGGGCGTGTGTGTGACTGAGGCTTGTGTGTGGGGGAGTTCATCAGCTCGTTGCAGACCAACCATCCTCTTTTGTTCTCTCTTAATGTGAAATAATTTATTTCCAGTTTTAGAGACAATGTCGGCTACATTTAATTTGCACATCTCCTAGCAACAACACTTTGAACAAACTAAATATAACTACTTGCTAAGGTGTCACTATGTCCCCGCAGTTCTGGCTCTGACTGTTTGTTGGCTTATGATAAAACTGTCCCTTTTTAAATAAGCATGCTCAACTGTACTGAAATATCTGTGTTGTATTTATGTCGATGACTCATTAACTTATATTAGTGATGTTTTGGTTCGTTTTTTCCCCGATGAAATGAATACCTTTATTCGTGTATTTAATAGGCCTGGGAAAACTAGACCACTGTTGTTTTCCAGAGGATTTCACCAACCAATGCCCCCCAAACCTCCCCTTGCAAACCATAATGAAGATTTTAGTTCTTTCATCTAGTGGCCATGTTTGCCAATCCGTATGCGTTAGATTCCAGTTGTTGTTTTTTTTAAACTTATGTACCAGTATAGATGTAAGAATATTAATACCTGTTAGGATACCAAGTCAAGAAAATTTTAAATTCTATCCACTTATTGGATAATCTCTTGTTTTTAATATCATGAAGTGCAAACAAACTCATGCACACTTTGAAAGTTGCACAGATATGTTTCCAATGCGTTGGAGTAATTTAGACCATCCTTTGTCTCTTTCACTGACTGCAGCTTTTGGTTCAAAATATCACTGAAGTACGGTTGTCATGATACCACAAATTAAATGTTTGATATAAGTCCTTGAAAATTAAAAACTTCTGCACGCTAATCTTGCTAAGAATCACCAATTTATTCCAAAAAAAAAAAAAAACTGTTTCGACACCATTGCAACTACAGTAGAAGTCATGGTCACAATATTTGGGCATATCTTGTTTTTAATGAACAAAACTATGCAAGCAAACTCCTGCAAAATGTCTTAATTGCACATTTACATTGCCGTTGTTCTTGCCAATATATTTGTGCATTTTAGACATCAATGTCATCAATTATCTTAAAAACTAGTACTCACCCAGTTTAAAAGCTCAATGAACACTCACAATCCAGTTACACTGACTTTTGAATTTGTATGAACCACCGCTCTATCATTGCAGCGTCAAGTTAATACGACTGAAGATCTGTATTTTGGTACTTTTCCACACTATTGGTCATTAAAATAACAAAGAGTGTATCATTGTAATAGACAGGTGGTATCAAAAAGTATCTTACTGACAACCTTAGCGTGCATCGTGCCCAAATTTACCATCAACCTTAGTTTTGATACAGCTAGCAGAAGATTTTTCTTGTGCTTTACTTGAAGAAATATTCAACACACCAATGTTGAATACTCAGTCCAGCCTGTTTATTGTGAATAAATCACGAGGAACTCCGGGTCACAACTTCAAACAAATAATACTAAAAACCTGCAATACTACTTACTCTATCACATGTTAACACAGGAGCGAAATTAATAAGATTACAAGTAGTATGATGAGTAATGTTCTCAGGGTGTTATCTAAGGAAAACTGTGTTTACTGACTAATGAAGAACCTTTAAAGAAGGCCAGGAACAGCAGGCTTGACGCATCACTCCAAATCTATAGAGGCGTCTAGTCTTATTTTTGTAACGAAACTCATGAGCTCTTCTTAGCCCCTGTGAGTGCTGCTAGACGTCTGTGTTGAGTGAAGTATGCTTTTAATACAGATGTAGAGCTGAATGTCACCCTCCTGTAGCTCCAGCCTCCCCAGGGTGCTCCCACTGACTGTGACAGCGCAGCCGCCCCCACACCCACTCTCCCCCCTCCTCACCCCCCACCCTCCACCCACCTCCCTCCTGCTGAATTGTCTGTCTATCTTCCAACCCCTTCTGCCCGACCCCCAGCCCTTGCTGCACGCAACAGATCAGCGCACCAGCGGCACCAAACGCAGCTCAGCTCGTGCATCAGGCTGTCACACAGGCTGAGTCGCCCTGACTCACAGTGTTTATCACAGCCGCAGGCGTGACACTCGAAAGCGTATGACGGCTAGTTTGTGTATGTGTGTGTGTGTGTGTGTGTGTCTTTGTGTGTGTGTGTATTGCGTAGTTATTCTCATAGGACTCATTACTCTGGTGATCTGTATGAGGGCCCCTTAAACCCCTGTGTTTGGAGTGTGTCTTCTCTATGTGCCAGGAGCGTTCAGGAGCTCAGTTCACTTAGCTCGTTGTTCAAAACAAATGATTGTGTCTCTCCCTGCACCTTAGCCAAATAGGGGCCACATCCGCAGTGACTAGCCACGCATTAGCCAAATTGAATTGAACTCACTCCTGTGAAATGAGAGGAGGCGGTACAAACATGAGAGGAGAGGATTGTACGCTATTCAAGGGTGGGGTGTTTGTGTTATTTATCATTTACATTTTTATTCTCCATTGAATTGATGAGATTAATTTCACATTCTTCATGAAAGAGTTGCTTAAATATTGAAAACATTGAATTTATTCATATAAATTCAACTTCTATTTCACTGATCCACAAACAAGGTACACTGCTAAATGAAATATTATTTCGCACTAGATTCTAAGACACGAAGTGCACGCAACAAAACAATAAGCAGCCAATGAACAAAGGAAGGTGTGCAGCATATGTCTGTGATGTATAAGTTGCTGTGTGCAAACCAATGTAACGATATGAAGGACATGTAATGAACAGCATGAATATACGTTTTAATTGGCATGATTATAAAACTGAATACAACAGCATAAATATGACTTATGAATACAATGGCATTGGTATGAATACAACAATTTGAATATAAATTAGAGCCTGACCAATTAATCAGCCAGCCGATAATATTGGCCAATAACAGCATATCAAGTGACTATCGGTATCAAAAATGTTATTTTAGATATGCACCTAAATGGATTTATTTACAAGTCAAATAGCATTTCATTTGAGTATCATTTAAATTCACAAGCAGTTCTCTTTCACCAGCAGAGTGTGATTTATGGATTACAACAAGCATTATCCCTCTCTATTATCACTCTCCAGTATTAAGCGGTGATGCACGTACATGCACAGTTACTCTCAGTTGAGACCATCTTGTCTACAAGTGTTTGATAACTTCTTTTGACGGATCAACGCAGTACATTTGTAAAGCTATATCTTTCTATCCCAACAGATGGAACATACAACTATAAGAAAGATATGGCTGATATAGCGTATCAAATTTTTTCTCCCCAATATCGGTATCGGCCCAGAAAACCTCATATCGGTCAGGCCCTTACATAAATACTAGATACAATATCATCATTACAAATACAACCATGTAAATATAAATATAGGATGTACTATAAATACGTAATGAAATTGTTATTTTCAAACTGCATAAGGATGTATAAGGAAGTGTTGATACAGATGTCTGTTTAAAGGCACAGCAGTGCTAATGACCCAGTATAAACAGTAATTAGTTGAAAGAACTGGTTACAGATAGACCCACCGCCATGTGTGGCTGACACAACTTAAAGACGCCAGTCCCTTCTTGAAAAAACTAGATGTGGAAAGGTCCTGGCAGTATCATTTATTTATTCATTTTAAGGACAAAAGAGCTGTTAATAACTTGGTTGATGTTTGATGGTCCACCGTTGGTTTCGGTCTTATAGGAATGTATGTGTGTGTGAGTCACTCTGGGATTGTTACAGCAATCTCATTCGTCCTTTCTTGATAGAAATTATTCATGCATGAGATTAACCGAAGGGAATTCAGTTTAATACCCACAGCTCCAGCACTCTCTGCTGATGTCAATAAAATGTATTTCAGGACAAACAATGACTATTGATCCTCCACGAGAAACCATATGATAGGCCATTAACAGCTGGGTCTGGTTTTGATGAATACAAATGGAGTGGTGATTGGATAGGAATCATGTGAGTGACCGTGGACAGGTTTTAAATGTTGGTTTGAAAGGTCTTAATTGTTGTTTCTGACAAGAGCTCCAATTTTATACAAAATGTGGGGGGGGGAGAGCAATCCCCCCCAGTCCTGCTAATCTTCTCACTTCCTTTTTCTTTATCTTTCCAGATGTGTTGGTGAATGGGAAGCCATGTGACTGTGATGTCATTGCCGACTGTAAAGTGGGAGACGCTGTGAGCCTTGAGGTGCAACTGACCAACCTGAGCAAGAACCCAGTAGGCCCCCTGGCTCTGACTGTGGTGCCATATCAGGACTTCCAGAATGGAGTCCAGAACTACGATCTGGAGGATGCGTCACGTTCATCGGCTCCAACACTTTCTACATAGAAACGGTTAGTAAGGACAGGAGCACTGTTTTGGTATAAACTGATGGTCATGTCACATGATGCAACCAGAAGGATTTAGGTTGTTAAAGGGAAGTGACACTGAAAAGCAGTTTATGCTAGTTTCATGCATGCCACATTTTTCAGCTAAAGAATTCAATAACTGTCTGTTCAACATTTAGTTTGTACAAAAATTCTTTGAATGTAAACTGTGAATAAACCACATCGACTCAGCATGAAAACACAAGTAGAACTAGTGGAAGAGAGAGATGAGAAGTCTTAGACTGGAATGGTGGAAGCAATATTGTCAAAGGTTTAATATGCAACTTTCAGTCCTGTGGATGACTGTTGTTAGCACACGTCTTTCAGAACAAAACAAAACTCCCTCAGCGCACCACATCCCCTCTCCTTATATCCCCTCCTTTAGTGTCCCAACCAAGTGCAGCCATTTGTAGGGCCGATCTCCACTCTGACATGCAGCCCAAAATGTATCCATGTCTTATCCACTTGAAGCATTTCAGAGCATGCTTCAGAAAGTCTGTTTGTTCTGCTGGGTTAGACTCTGCTAATATTCCTCTATAAACATCGTCCCTGGGCCGTCTCTCTTGGCCCACAGGATGGCGTAAAGTGTCGGACAGGAAGGGGTTAATATGAAAGAAAAACATGCATGAAACATGTTTGAGCCTCTGAGTGAAACAGAAACTAGCTGAGGGAAGTGCCGTCCTGTCAGTGTGAACACAGAGCTCAGACCAACAAACATAGAGGGAGTTTGACTTTATTCAGTCAGTTAATATTTAATATATGCTAAATTAATCTTTAAAAGGTTGTATATTATACCTTTGAATATTAACTTGATTTACTTTCAAGTCACTCTGTTGAGCTTTTAAAAGCAGGACATAAGCACTTCATGCATTGTAAACAATGATTATATAAAAACACATTGAATGGTAATAAATTACAACTTCTGTTACGAAAACATACAGTATATATTTTACACAAGTGTGCTTTGTTCAGTTGTCATTCATTTATACGTTTTTTAGTCACTTGTTGTGTTTGAAAATATAACAGTGAAAATGCCATCTCTTTAATTCTTCCAAGTTATGCTTTTTCAGGTCGAGTATTGGTATTTCAATTCAGTTAGTTTAACTTAAAAAATGGAGATTATGTGAAATAAAGAAACAATTGGCTATTCAGGAGGCCAAAATAAATGTGTTTGTAAAAGAAAAGAAAGCAGTTGTCTTCATAGGTCATGGCTGATATCTTTGAATTTTAAAAGTACCTAAAAGTATCCAAGACGGGATAATTTAACTGTATCTTTTCTTTCTTGTGCATGCTAAAAGAAGCTGGAGGCGATAAAAATGACTTGTTTGATGCCAGAACAAAGAGTCGATTATCTTAAAATCATATAAAAGCATAACTCAGGACTGTGTTACATTGCGTGTCCTCTCTGGTCCATTACGGCTCCATGCACCCTCGTCCGTCAACACCCACAGGCTGCGTTCTCCATGCATGTATTATACTGTATAAAACCCTTTTAAACACATAAACAAACACATAGACGGTCAATGTTCTGAACCGTCAAAACGGAGCGTTTTAGTCTGAAAATTAACCGGATGTTTAATGTTGTTTCGGTGTCTGACTTCCCGTCCCGCTCGACCTTTTCTGTGGTAAATTGATGTGTCGTGCTCCGGCTTCCGGCAAATATAGAAGCCCTGCGTATCGGTTACGGAGGGCACCGGACTGCCGGAGCTGAGACGCAGCGCGGTGGAGCCAGTGGAAGCACACACATTGAATAAAGTGAAAAGCTATCAGCTCCTCTGCCGTAAGGGAGAGGAGACCGACCCAACACGCATCTGGTGGACTTTGGATCTAAGAGATACCTTTAAATTCTTGAATGCAAAACGTCTTGATTTGGGGAATCGTTCTTAACTGACAAAGGGAATCATTTCTTGTTACCTCTTTATTAAAGCCACAGTCAGCCTCAGACATACTGCTGCTGCTGTTAATAATTCTTAATGTTGTCTGTCTTTGCCATCACCAGGTAAAGCCCAAAGAAAACACCGTCTGTGTGGGGGCCCTGCTCTTCCTCTACACTGGAGATTTCTACCTTAATATCAAGTTTCAGGACGACAGCGCTGGACGGGAGCTTCCTCTTGCCTGGTTCACTCTTCCCAGCGTCCACATCCGAGCCCTGGACACTCCACTTCAGGCCGGGGCCTGAGAGCTTCCTGGCCCCCGTCACCTTAGCTCTAATTGAAGGATGGAGAGTTTTCTTGATAAACCTCTCTGTAAATACAAACGTGTAATTAAGTATTTGTTTAAAGCATAAACTGTATATCAAGATGGAAGAAGCATCAGCCGCCAGGAAGTGAAGCCAAAATATTTAGAGCTCCCCCTGGTGATTGGCTGCAGTATAGGTCATAAACCCCTCCTCCTCTATGTCATCATGAAATGTGAGTCGAACTAGAAGTTAAAATACACGTCTGATATTTTCCTGTCAATCCCAGATTCAGTTTTGACAGCTATTATGCTGATTTAAGTCCAAGTGGTTGTTTGGTTTTTCGGAGCATTTTTTTTTTTTTACATTACTTATTTGATGCAACAAAGAGCGGATGTAACGTTACGATCGACAGCTCGGTTGACAAATGCCACTGCTTTCAGTGTTCTTAACCAGTTAAAGAGAGTAAATAAGGAAAGGTGAGCCAAAATGTAACGCAATAGTTATTGTCTGCTTCAAACCAACACAAGAATTTGTTCAGCTGTGGACTGTACGGACCCCAGGGAACTTACCGGCAAGTTAAGTTTCCTTTGGTTAGCTGAAGGGGCGTGGCATCAATTCACCAGTTCCACCAGCCAGCTCCCTTCTGAGCATGTCTTGGTTCCACCAGCTCAATCAATCATTTATCAGTGCTCGTCATGGAGGTATTTTGGCTTCTATTTTGCAGTACTGAAGGAGACAGAGACATACGTCCATATAAATATACGGTCAGTGTTTAAAAGTTAGAGCATCTTTTTGGTTGAGTGAAAGAAGGACGTGAGATCTTCCATGAGGGACACTGAGGTGATCTATTATAACTAAGCAGCGTGCAGCTTTATAGAGACGGACAAAGCAAAATGCGAACATGTACAACATTTAAATGTACAGACATTTAGAAAATAAGGGACTGGAGGGAAAATGACATCACAAAACTAGAGTTTATTATATCAGTCAGAGTTTGACTAGAGCACAGTCTGCCTGCTGTTTAGCTTGTTATTCAGCTGTGTCAGTATAGTTAGCTTTAAAGTGATTTTAAACAGACTGCCCAGTAAACAAATCTGTGAAAATGGGCTTGTAAGTCATTCATCTTTTTATGTTTATATATTGACAAAAACTTCCTATCAATCACTGCAATCAGGAGACACACCCACGGAGAAAGAAAAGAGCCTTGCAATGTGCTTTTATTTTAATTTGAACACATGAATTTACACTATTGAGTTACACTATTGAACCTGCACTGATAATGCAAATCTGGGATCATAGCACCATTTATTCAGTCGATGATTTCGTTACCTTGCATTTAAAATGAGAAAATATCAACTGCAAGAGAATAACCATCACATAATTACAGAGCCTTAAAAAGAGAGTAGCTGCATACTAACACTGGAAAATGATGATTAACCTGAGTTTAAAGCCATTTATTTACACGTATAATGTATTTATTTCTTCTGCTGTATGGACATTTTGTCTCCACACACTGAGTTAGTGAATCTGGCTGTCTTAGAGAAGGTTCTTATATTGTGTGACATTTAATTGTTGTAAATAAATGGAAAGGATGACACCTGCTGTGTTTATTTTGACATTATTCCAACTCTTTGCATTTTTCTATCAATCATTACAGCTGAGTGATCAGCTTCATTTTCTGTCTACAGCATCGACCTTGTCCACATCAGCATTTTAGGACGCTGGAGTCTGACATTCAAAAGGACCAGAATCCTTAAACAGTGATTAGCAGGGAAAAACATTTTCTAACATGGAAGGAGGGATGAACAACCTGATACCCATTGACAGCTAAAACACCTTTACATAAAATAATATGACAGTAAACTAAGGGACAACACAGCAACCTCACCACATCCATCAACATATAGTGCTCATTGTGCCTGATACCTTTGAGATCCTCTCGCTGAGTGTGAACTGGATGAAGGAGACGCTGAAGGGAGATAAACCTTGTTGAAAGGCTAAAACGTCTCCGGGGGGGTTGGGAGACCTGAAGGTTTCATGCGGCTTTGAAAGGAGGTTTATCAGTAAATCAAAACACACTCAGCGTGTGGCAGTCAAGCGTTAGAGAGACCAGATTGTGTTCCTCCCAGCTAGAATTGTGCGATAATGAATGGCTCACAGAGAACTTTGTTTTTATTTACATGGACCGACTATTAAAATCATACCAGCTATGACTTTAAAGAATGGATTTCAGGGAATGTAACATCTGTATTACTTAAAAATATCCTGAATTTGTGAAAAGGGGGAAACATTTTGATGCTGGAAGTATTCTTTTTCTGACTCCAGAGATTTTATCCCCATGAAGGTCACATTTAAAGTTCACACAAACCGCTTTCCCCACTCGTAAATGTGTTCGTTTACATATGTGAATAATACATCAGTGAATCAACAGCTTTTATCAGTTATGCATACAACGCAAACACATCCAAAGTCATGCCCTCCAAGCTTATTAATTTGTTTATCTGTTTGTTTATTTATTTGATTAAGAATGGAGCGTGTGTGTGTGTGTGTGTGTGTGTGTACCAGCTTTTGAATAGTGATATCATTAAAAGTTAAAAGCGTCACTGAATGTGTCGACTCCTGCATGCAACAATAAAACTGCTTTGTGTTAAGTGATGAAGTGAGCGTGGCTCTGAGGCCGCAGTCAGGGTGAACTTTAATTCTCACATGCTTATTCTATTGTTAGATACTTCTTTACTGGCCTGTTGTTTAATGCATTTCAGCATTTCAAGGTAACTCCATTCACAAGCCTACATTACAGCGCAGTCCTTCAATTAAGAGCCTCACCTTATTGAATAGAGCCTGGCACAGAAACCTTTCTATGCACAAGAAGCAGTAAGTCTAACAAACCCTGCACATGTACAGATTGCTCAATGACAGCAGCAGAGCCTGTGTATGAAAAGCTCACACCCGATTGGTGGATGATCATATTTTGAAGGGTATGGCTGCTGACAGAGCTAAATGATTAGATATGTTGGGACTGAGAACGTGTTGCTAATGCATGTTTGGTCAAGATGGCTAGTGTCAACTTTTGGTTCTGCAACAAAACTATTATAATAGAAGAAACAGAAAAAAAGCAACATAGGCCATGATCGAAGGAAGGACAATATTTCTGTTTTATGCAAGCCTTTAAAAGCAGAATGTGTGACATTTTACACATGAATACAGCAGAGATCCAGTCTATGCTCTGTAAATGTCCCTCTGAGTCATGACTGCCTACAATGAGTGAGAAGCATGAGTCCGCCAACTGTATTGTTGTCGGAGCCGTGTTTACGTATGAAGCTGTTTTAGTCAAGGACTAGAGAAAAGAAGAATAACACAGCCTACTCACTGCTTATTTGGATGTCACGCAAGTCACTTTAGATCTCGGTCATTCCGTCTCAATTTATGTTCAATGTGAAGTTATGAGCTAGCCAAAGTGTGCTAACGTTAGCCTGCTAACACAACAACGCAGGACACGGGTGATTGCAGCTCAAGCAGAGGACAATTTTGTCCACCGCGTGCGCTTAATGGTGCTTTCTCAATGATAGCTCCTTCATGCAAATGCAAGTGGGGAGGGGTTGGAGGTTTGCCCCTGGAGGAGAGCGGAGGCTTTCAGGATAGCGGAGGTGTCGCCAAACAGCAGTGGGTTTTTTTAGGTCAATGCTGGCGTTCAAGGGCGACATCTACTGGATCACAAAGTCCCACATTATTCCTCTAGACCGATGGAGGTCTTATAGGCCGGGTGGATACCTTTTCTTGTGTGGAATTAGCATGCTCTACCCATGCATGCACAGGTTCCCTCTGCGTACTCTGGCTAACTCTCACCGTCCAAAGACATGCTCGTTTGCTTAAATGGCTGACTCTAAAATTTCCCAAGGTGTGAATGTTAGTGTGTCTACTTGTCCGTCTCTATGTGTCAGCCCCAGGGTGTACCCCGCCTCTCTCCCAATGACAGCTCGGATCGGCCCCTCGCAAAACCCTGAACAGGATAAGCGTTTTAGATAATGGATGGATATTGTACCTCTAGTTTAGTACCACTGCTGTGAATGATCTTTGAGCAGCTTTAAAATGCTTCAGGTCTTTGTGTAAGATTCTCATGAGTAGTAATACAGCATCACTTAGGGAGGATATATGTGTTCCAGACATTTTCAGACAAATGTCAAACTGACCTCTCTCCAACTGAGGGCATCCGAAGAAGACTTAGCATGCTGCCTCGAGTTTAAATGAGGTTTCTTATCAGAGAATCAGCAGGGCATTATTAGCCACCCACCTTCATTACCTTGCAGCAAACCTGTAATTCTGATCCGAATCAGCCCAACAATCACGCATCAATCTTTGCTGATGCACCTCTCTACCCCCTCCCCTCTGATATTAGGCCATAACAACATAGAGGAGAATGATCTGTTTGAGAGCAAACAAGAGCGTTTCATTTAGAGGCAAAGAAATCCCCTTGAGCTCTGCTGCCGACAGTACGCTGTCTCTCTCTCTGCGTGAAAACATTCATGCAAATTAAACTCCATTCAATCCCTTTCTTCTCCTTCTGGATTGAGTAGTAAGTCCTGTCCATTCATATATATTCATACATATGCAACCTTAACATGTAAATGATGTGAGGAGTGGAGTGATGAAGGGATTTGAGAGGATTAAGGTGTGTGCCGAAGAAAGACGGGTGATTTGACACCTGTGCTGCTCTTTTCACTCCCTCGCCTGTAGCACTGCAGGAGAAAACCTGGCAGAGAAAAGCACAGGAATCCTCATCCTCTGCGTGTTTACTGATCCACTGTGACTCCCTGAATTAATTAATGCGCTATCAGCCACGGCACACAAGCTGGTAAATATGAAATAAACTCAAACTGAAGTCTGAAATGTGACTGCGGCTTATGTAACAATTTGCTCCAAGTTAAAGTCCCCATGAAATGAAAAAAGGACTTTTTCACCTTGTGCATCAACCTTCCCTGTCATAATATTTACCTCAATAAATCCTCAAAGAGACTGAGTGTGTTGCTAACCATAAATCTAGCCTAAACAGAGAAGCAGAACTTCATCATGTGTGGAAGCACTTTATTTATTTCGTTAAGACAAAGTTGGACAAAATGATATCCTTTTCTTCTTCTTCTCATGGTCTTCATCAGTGGATGGAGTTTGGTATCACGTGGTAACGGGTGGATGAATTTTGTGTGTGGGTATATAGCGGTTTAAAGTTACAGAAAATATCAGCTGATATTTTGTGAGCTGGATTTGGGGTTTCTTTGCTGCAGTGCTAAACGTTGACCTTTCATTCTGTGCAATAATATTTGATTGATTCACGCCTTTAAAATCTTGCGCCTCTATTGCCTTGTTATTCTGTTTAACCAGAGCGGAAACCGCAGGTCTTGAAAACTGAAGCCAATGCAGAAGTGCAAAAAACCTTGAGTGTCCGCTTGAGGCTGGCTCCAGGAACCCCGGAAGTGAATACACAACACATAAAAAAAAAATAGTGTTTTTACATCATAAATTAACATGTTTACAGCCTGCTACAAAAAACTAAATAGTTATTGTCATCATATTCTCACACTGTATGGGGGTGATTTTTAAATGGCTCGGTTTTGATTTTTCCATAGTTAGGCGTGTCGCTGGCATGATTGACAGGTGGGCGCAATGTAACGGTTTGTCAGGGGGCTTAAAACCCGCCTCAGCTCCAGCTCTCATCCTGTCGTTAGGTCGACTGAAAGTTAGACTGAGACAGGATTTCCAGCATATGAGCCTCCGCAGCCCCAGTCTATGGCTTAACCGTGAATGGTTTAAGTAATCAAGTGGTGTGATGCTTTTAAATGTCATTTCAGAAGCATTTAGTTGATACGTTTTCAGTAGAAGCTTTAAAAGCTTGCAAAATTTTCAGGATTTTCAATTTTCTTTCACAAGTGCAACTAGTAAATGTTAGAAAACACAAAGTAAGTAACAGAATAAAAAACTTGATTGCTGAAGCTCTAATTTTGATAACGAAATCAAGATTGTTCAAATTAATTGGTGATTTTTTTTCTGCAGAGCCACAGATGACTCAATTGTCATCATGTTAACCGGATTATTATGTTGATCGCACGGTGCAGGTAAGTGAGTGAAACTGTATTCAGATATCGTCTTGTATCAATCAATCAATCAATCTTTATTTGTATAGTGCCAATTCATAACAAATGTTATCTCAAGACACTCTACAAAAGAGCAGTTAAAAGAACTTAGTCTATGCTATATTACAAAGACCCAACATGAATCCATCATGAGCACTAAGCAACATTTAGCAAAGTTACAGTGGTCAGAAAAAACTGACTTTTAAGCGGCAGAAATCTCGGGCCAAACCAGACTCATGATGAGCAGCCACCTGCTGAAACTGGGCTGGGCTTGAAAAACGGGATAGAAGGAGATGCAGAAAGAAGGATAGAGACAAACAGGGATGGACAGATAGACCACAGTAAACAGGTGAGCTCTACTCGCTAAGGAGAGTTAGCTAACATACTTGAGCAAAGCAGCAAACCTTCCATGGTTACACCTCCAGGAGACCTGCTCCCACCGCAGATCCATCACTCTAACATCTGCCCACATAACTGCTTGTCTATGTGTGCAAGTCTGCATGAGCCTTTGTGTGTATACACTGTATAATGGGCAGAACAATCTGAACCCTCCCATAAAAGATCAGTGAAGCAACCATTCTCTATTGAAATGTCTTAATATCTGCACAAAAGACAGAAGATCACTTTTGCATCTGTTTTTGTTTCGTCAGTGCAGTAATATTCCTCGGCAGCTTTTTTTATCAGACAAACTCAATCGTGTGAGCATGCTGTGGTTGCACAACTCCTCCTACAGCTGCATCAGATAGCAAGTGCTCTAATGTACATGTACAGTGATGAGAAAACGTAAACAGCCAGGCTTCCAGAAAAGAAATCACAAGATATACAACCGGCTTTAGAAAAACGCAGGAGGTGACGATACAGTTATTGGAATCATTAAAGTAAAGACCTCTACACTGATTGATTTTGTTGATTCTTATGGTTTTCTATGAATTAATATTTCATAGTAATCCATCCTGTTGATGTGAGGATGATATGTAACCCCTACAGACAGTACAGATCAATAACAAACCAGATTTATATCCAGACTGCGGAGTGTTTCTATTTTGGGCTTGTGCAACCTAAACAGAGAAGTGTTCAGCTGTTGGTAAACTAAAACAACTGCATTCCTTTTCATGTGTGATGTTTCAGTTTGTTTCACTTGACACGTCAGAGTCACATGTCTGCGTGTGTGTGCGTGCGTGTGTGTGTGTGTGCGCGTGCGTGTGTGTGTGTGTGTGTGTGTGTGTGTGTGCATGCAGCCCTGTGTGATGAGCCGAGCGATTGTACTGTAAGTTTAGTGTCATTACCATGGAGACTAATCCAAGCTGTTGCCATTATTAAACTTTTCTCTCTGAGCTTCTGCAGAAATGCGTTAGGAGTTCTGGAGGAGGGCTGAGCGGGAACTTGAGGTGTGAGAAAGGGAGCTAAACATAGAGCGACATCAGATCCAGACGGTGCTGATCAGAGGAGCTCGTTCCCTTCTTCTAATGGCTGCATTTGAGGATCCTTGCGGTTGATCTTTTCCATCAATCAATCAATTTCTATTTGTATAGCGTCATCTCATAACAAGTGTTATCTCGAGACACTTTACAAAAAGCAGGTAAAAGACCTTACTCATTGTTATGTTACAAAGATCCGGCCTATCCTTCATGAGCACTTTAGCAAAGCAGCAGAAGTTACAGTGGTTTTGGCTTCTGCATGCACTCAACTTCTTACTGAGATGAGCTTGTTTCCTGTTTGTGTTTTTTATTGACGCGCCAGTTGGGTTTGCATGGAAAACACTGGCAATTTTGTGGTGTTTCATTTCAGATCTAAAATTAGTTGAAGAGGAAATTGTAGCTCAGAAGTCCTCTGTGGCTATCCGTTAAAAGCTTACACAAGTGGGAATGACATCAATGTGAAACACAAACAGACAAAACACGTAAGTTATTTGGATCATAGACTAAAGCTTTAACATTTGCTCATCTTATTGCTCAGTTAACTTTAGAGGAAGACTTTCATCTCATTCACTCAAGGGAAATTGTACATGAGGGGTTCCAAAAAGAAAAGATATTTTTTTTAATTTTCTGTGTTCGGAACAAACAAAGAGGAGGACCTAAGAGAAGACTACAATGGTATTCAATTATAATCTAAATACAAAAAGGCAAAAGATGTTTTACTTCTTTCAAAATACAGTAAAAGTAAAAAATAAAAAAAAATCCACAAATAGGAGAAACTACAACAAGCCATCAGAGCACTTTATGTATCACAGGACCACAGGGAGGTTGGACGCAATAAGATGGAAGGGAAAAGAACGGAGAGACTAAAGACTCAGGGCAGTCACACACAGGTAAGACACACGTGGGGATAATGAAGGCAATTGAAAGTAGAGGGATAAACACAAAGGCAGGAAGTAACCGTAGACATGATACACAGGGGCAAAAACTACAAAATAAAACAGGAAGCACTAAAAACTTAACCGCAGAATATGAAGAGAAAAATAGAAAGTTCAGCAACATGAGGGAAGAATAAGAGAAAATAAAACAGGAAATCTGAACCATGAATACAAGAAAATCAATTTATTATTAATCTTGTGAAACTTTTTGTATTTGTAACAACTTAAAGAAAAACTAAGTCAGAGGAGAATTTTTTTTTACCATTTATAATCAACATTTTAATTTAATTCTCAAAATGAAGCAAGACAAGAATCTGCACTTCCTTTTTTTTACTTTTAAACTTGAACTTTAAACGCAATACATTAAATGCTAAAATATTATAAAATAATAATCTTTGTCTCATCCCCTTTGCCTGACACTTTTATACTTTTAAATTACAGATCAACAGCAGAAAAACAATTTTCTCCCAATAGTGAAACCTCATTTAAGTAAAGCATATACAATGAATTGCATGCTCTGAAGCTACTTGTCTAAGAGCAGGAGGTCCATCTTGGATCATTTCATGGGTTCATTCTGTAATAATCTCCATGTACAAATCAGTGAAGAGGCAGAAAATGTGCATCAGGTGGTAGACGAATGAAACCACAGATACCAGTGACTTGCTTTTACTTTCTATAATATAGTTCAACTCATGTATGGTTTCTTAATCAGCATGTGAACTGGGCCTAATTGGCCACTTTCCCCTCTCCTTGTTCAGAGTTTTAACACTGTTTTGAATAAGTTGGCTGGAATTATTGCCTTTTTCTTGAATATGAATTTCTTGAGGTTCTGATTTCCTTTACTTTTGAATTTAAGCCATTGAAAACCAAATGATGAACACAATCTGCAGTTCAGTTTTCTAAGTCTGCATCATAATCTGTTTTAAGATCCTGGTGTTTTCTTTTTTTTTTGACGTCTATGAAACAGGTGAGGGGAATAAAAAAAGTTTTGTCAGTTGGGTAAGGAAAAGTTTTTTTATCTGTGGAAAAAAAAGAAACCTAGACCCAAAGCAACTGTGAAGAAAAGCACAGAAACACAACTCTGCTAGATTAAGGACGTTTTCAGAACCACAAGAAACGTTGCAAAAACACCTGCATTTTACATTTTTCAGACTTCACCGAGAAAGAAAAGTTGGTACTGGATCCTTGAAGTGGAGCCTTAAGCTATAAGTTAATGTTCAGGTGTTACTTCAAAGCCTATGACATTAGCCGTCGTAGTTCTTAGGTTAATGTTGTATTGAGAATATTCTGTAAATCGTTTTTCCTCGCTTGCCACTCGGTGAACTCGGAGCCTCTTTGCCATTTGATGCTCTTTAGCAGCTTCCTGCTTAAGGCTATATTCGTGGCATGTTTCTCAGGTTGACTTGTCTAAAAATCTGTCTTTATTTCTCTTTGCAGCACACACGAAGCTCTGTTCTTTTCAAAGTGTGCTCATAATAACTCGGATGTTATCGCGCGCAGCAGAGCATCAGTGTACCAATCTTCAGGACCTCGGACAGCGCAGCAGCATCTTCATGTGAGGATGTGATCGCGGATGTCCCGCTGATGCTGGAGTTAAAAAAAAAACACAAAAAAAACACAAAAAGAAATCGCTAATGTGTCAATGTGAGTCTAAGTAAACCACCTCTGTCCGTATGATGAGGAGGAGGGGTCATGGTGGGAGGGGTCGCGTTGTGTGGTGACGAAAGGGGGGAGCAGCTGTCAGTTTCTTCCCCAGTAGGTCCCCCCCCCCCACCCCACCCCCGGAGAGAAAGCTTCCAGGAGTATTCAGATGGTGAGGTCAGAATTCAGAGGATTCGTGACACTTGGAAAAAGAAAAACACAGAGACAGGAGGAGCAACGCCCACTGATTAGAGTCTGGAGACATAAAATGTGGAGCCTTCAGAATACGAGCAGCTCGTGACAGACATGGTTAACTCAAAGAGCCCCCCCACGCAACGAGGGAAACACATGAATTCTCTTTTTTCACATTTTCCCTCTAATTCACCTGACACTGGTCAGCAGGCTGTGCGGGAGAGGAGGAGGAGAAGAGGTTTGGATACGCGCAACAGAGCCTGAGTGCCACTGCGGGCACGGAGCGCGCAGAAGCATCTTATGATTAATGTTTGCCTCTGCTCGAAAGTATCTTCCTCTTGCGCTCTCTGTTTTACATCTCCAAAAACGAGGTACACGTTTGATAAACTCATCTCCTCGATGGAACCTGTCGGCGACCATTTGTTGCGTGCTTGGAATATTTTTTAATTCCTCTAACAAGTGGTGAGTTGATCCAGCAAAGGAGTAGCTGTAAACGGGAAACCAGCCTGTGAAGATGTTTGCTGTGATGATCTGTGCACCGTGCGAGTAGCATTTCCAAACTTGCTGTTCCTCTGCGATACTCTGTGACCCTCCCGTCTTATCAGCGACTCAGCACATTTCTCGTGAGGATGTCATCTGCTGTTTGCGAGGAAGATGTGAAGATTTCACTGAACCTGGATTTTTTCGAACACGGGGAATGGCTGCTAAAAATAGCCTGCATTCCAATGAGATTACAATGAACAGGTTGGTGTTTCGCTGAAACTTAAGAGACATGCGGGATGATGCTCAGTTTTAGGACATTTTAATCCACATCACAGACAAAGTGAGAGTGGAGCATCAAGGGAAGGCAGAAAAAGAGATCTGTCAAAGATCATTTTCTTGAGAATTTATCCACATCACTTTAGTTCACTTGAGGGGAAAGAGACCAACAGGCGATCATTGGGAGCAGCTTGTTGATGGCACTGCGCACCGGGAGGACTTGGTTTGGGCAGGTCTTGCGCAGGGTCTTTCGGCTGCAGGACTCCTGGTCCAGGCGATCCAGTAGTCTCTTGTGTCTCTCCGCCAACCAGGAGCAGGATCTGGGTTTCTGTCACCGGGATAACCACAAGGCAGGGGGTTTACATAGCTGCTCCCACTCCTGCGCCCACCACGGACACAGTCACCGGAGCGCACCTTTCTGCGCCTCCGCCTCCAGGCGCTGCCCACACGGCTTCCCCCACGCTAGCTGCGCCTTCCCGGGGAATCCGAGGGGACATGAGCCCCTCGGTCGCAGGTTCCTGTTGGCCATGAAGCGGCAAAACGTGCGGACCCTTTCCCTGATCATTTGCACGTTTACATACCTGCTTGTCGGGGCCGCCGTCTTTGACGCCCTGGAGTCCGACTTCGAGATGCGGGAAAAGGAGCAGCTGGAAGCCGAGGAGAAGCGTCTCCAGGGGAAATATAACATCAGTGAGGATGATTACCGCAAACTGGAGACCATCATCATGGAGGCTGAGCCCCACAGAGCCGGGGTGCAGTGGAAATTCGCAGGGTCATTTTACTTTGCCATCACAGTTATTACCACCATAGGTAAGTTGTAGTCTCTTTTGAGCAGTCACGGTCTTGAAAACCAGCATTAACGAGCCCCCATCATAACCTTTAGAGTTGCGTCTAGTGTGTAATGTTGGGCAACAGGACATGATTTTACATTTCCAAAGCGATAGAATGGCCGGAGGGCAGCAATTACGCGAAGCAACATGTTCATATTAAATGCTTTTACTAATAAACCAAAGTGATCGCAGAGATACACCAGGTGTCAACATAAAGTTTTAAAGCAACATGTTGCAGATCTCGCTCCATGGTCCGAAGGGAGCTTTGCTGCGTGCATAAATCTGCGTGTCACTGCATTTGTGGTTGGATATGTACTTTATTCCTTCGGGGTTTTAGAGATTGACGTGGCACACTCAGAAGACATTTAAAACATTCGTATCACAGCACAGCAAACATCGTTCAACTTTTCCATTGCGTCACCAACATACAGCATAAAGTAAGACATATTGATCTTGACACGCCGACATTTGCTATGAGATCTGCTGGAAACAAGATATGCAGCTGTGCAAGGAGGATAACGGGATTGAAACAGAGCAGATGTTGGAGAAGCTGCAGGCTTTTGTATGTTGTGGTGCTGAAAGGACAGCTCCTCTGAGTTCAGCTGCAGGCACAGCAAGACTTCAGCTGACGTCACTTTTACTGAGCCCAGTGAACTTGTTACGTTTATTAATGTTTAATCCGTAAGCTTCATTTTAAAGTATTTTTTCAATGGTCTTTCTGCACAACAAACGTGGTGTGTGGTCCATGAGATATAACGCCACTTTGCAACAACAGGTGATTTCAAGCTGGTGATCATGACATGCAAGAACAATTCCCCTTCAGTTGTTCCCCTGTAGTGACGTATCAATCCGGTATTTCATTGAATCATTTATTTCCTATTATCCTCCCCGACAGGAAACATAAATGACATCATGTTGACGCTACTTTTGATGATGCATTTGCGTCATAAAGCTTATTTCATGCTGTGAAGGAGGGATCACTGAGTCCGTCTGTGTTTACGCTCCAGTATTATTCTCTCTGCATTTTAAATAACCCAAAAGCCGAATTAAATGAATCGAGCTGAAGTTAAGTGAATTAGTTTATATATTCTTTGTTTTAAAACAAGTTTAATCTACACCTTTCAGTCAGCTATCACGCGGTTAAAGATTATAACGCTGGCCGAATATTATGAAATAAACTTTCCTGTTCTGCAGAGGTCACAGAGACGCGCTTTCCTTTCAATATGAAAGTCAGATAGTTTTTTTTTTTTTTTTAGTATGAGGACTTTTAGCTTTGGGGGGAGGGAGGAACTAATGCACCAGGCCTGTCCTCCTCCAGTTTGCCAGGCAACACTTAAAAGGGACGACTGCACAGAGCAGTGAAGGCGGATCCACTGTTGTTTCCAGGCTACTGCAACAAGAGCCATTGTAATATTCATGTTGTGTGAAGTGGTTACATCTACTGCAGGCCCGAGTCTCCTCTGTAGGAAACAGATTCTCTTTTATACATGATCATACTGTTAAGATTGGAAAGAAGAGTTTGTGGGACAAGCTGAGAAATGTATGCATACGGATGTTTGGATAAAAGTCAGACAGGACAGATTTTCCTCTCCATGACTATATAAATGTATTAACGTGGTTGAAGCAGACAAAGGAAGAGAAAACAACTCTGGCAGAACAAGACACTTTTCTTCCTGATTGCAAGAATTATGTTTGATAGCCTGTAGGTCCAAATTAAAAAAGTCTTCCACTTAGAGCCGTTTACACTTTTTAAAATACTGATACTGTGGAATAGTACAAACTGAAAATCAGTTGGAGGTAAAACTGCATGTTTTTTTCTGTCTTCAGTTTCCTGCATCATGATATATGACCAAACATTCAATAATACTTGCTGTCTTACTTTAATACATTTTGGCAAATTATGTTTTTAAAAACAGTTTCTGAATGAAAGGTTTTACAAATTAGCAGATTTGTTAATCATATAAAACAACATCTCAGTAATGTTCTTCAACTAAATGATTTCATAAACAAAGCTGTATACATTCAGAGGCCCTGCTTGTGAGTAAGGCAGGCAACTGCTTTGCGCCTCAGACCAATAGGGGGCCCAGAAAGCAGCGATCAAAAATGTGCACATTTTGCAATGACGGTAGGAAACCTCCCTAAGGGGGGTCCCATCTGACAGAACTCACTCTTTGATGATTCGATTATAGATACCGTTTCTAGGAAAGATGACTCAAGAACATCTGATGTGTATCCATCTGCACATTAAAATATGACCCTCCCGCCCAAAAAAAGAAAGACACAATTTCCTGCTGTATCAGTTTAACCCTCCAGTGCCCAACTGGTTTAGGATCACATTATTCTTTCTTGAAAAACATCCATCTTCACCTTACACATTTGAAAATATTGGCTTCATGTGTGAGAGTAAATGAGGGGGCTGAGGCTAAAGGACAGGAAGTAAAAAATCAAAAAAACAACAACATTTGAGCAGGCCTGCTTTAGTGTGAGTCACACTGTTTGAAATGGTCAACATTATGAATTTGAGCAAAGGACAACAGTATGTGTCAACTAGAGGTAACTATCCCCCAAACTCAAGATCACTCATGAAAAACAAAGAATTAACGTTGTCACTTGCATTTCCACTTTTATTCGATTAAAACATACACAGGGAAATGGCTGTATTTTTGCTAGTGTGATCTGTTCAGTACTAAGTGAAATGACTGTAAGTTTGGGACGGATGAAATGTTCTCGATGCCTCCGACCATGAAGTGAGACAATCACAGAAAAGTGTCTTCATCTCTTTTTCTATCATTTTCATGACTATCCAGACCTATAAGGCATTTCATCTTGCACTCTGAGAAATCCAAAGTTAATATGATTTTTTAAGGTTATATTTGACTCAACTGTCATTGTCTTTAGGCTGTGAAGTTTTGATTTGATGAGTTCTCTGAAGGATTGGAAGACTGTGCTCAAATATATATCGCTCCGCTGAGGAATAAGATTTACTATCTCATACTCTCCCCTGTTGATGCTCAGAAGGGAATCTTTTAGAAATAATGAAACTGCACTGTTTCAATAGATTTTCAAATAATTATTTCAAACACAAAAAGTGAGAGAAGAGAAAGTACCTTTGTGCAAAATGAAACTCTACTGCAAAGATAAGGAAACAATTTGGACTGTGTCCACTATGAGCTGTTTGTGGAAACTAATTAAATTTAGTGTCATCAAGAAGAAGAGTAAAAATGGAACAAAGATGCCTATTAAGATATGTGTTACCACACACTTGCTGTGTGTGTATATTTTCAGCAGAATAAATCAGGAAGAGAAATGTAACAATACAGCTCAGCGTGGTGTTTTAACAGCCACCGATATGACTGCACAGAGAAACAAACACAGTGAGAATCTGCTTCAATGAAAACGTACAAAGCTGTACTTCATTTAGGAGAATTATTCCAACGATGTCAATGAGGAATCTGTAAATTCTCATACAATAGCTCACACAGTTTACATCCTCAGAACAGAGTTACAAGGGGTAGTGATGGATTCTTCCCCTTCGAAATGGGATGACCCTTCGAGACCCTTATATGTCATCAGTAGTAGTCAACAGCAGACTGGGAGATATCTCATGACTTGGTTTTTCACTAACAAAGAAAACACCAATAAAGATATTGATTTGGTATAGTTTATTGTGATACATGTGACGGAGATCGTTATAATTTGCACGGTTGGATGATTGGAAGATTGAGGGTGGCTGGATGAAGGGAAGGAGGGATGAAGGTAGGGGTCAAGGGATGGAGTTGGGGAGGTAAGAGTACAGGGATGAAAGGATGAAAGGGTAGGGGTCGAGGGATGTGGGATGAAGGGATCAAGATAGGGGTCGAGAGATGAAGAGAGGAAGGTATAGGGTTAAGTGGGATGAAGGTAAAGGTAGAGGGAAGGATGAATGGAAGGGTCGGTAGGTGAATGGAAGAAGGATGATGGACTTGTGTCAGCCGTTGTAGGGCCGACGTGAGAAAACCAGAGGAGTTTTGGGGGAGGGATGTGAAGTCAGCGTCAGAGGTAATAGGAGTGATAGTATTAGTGGTAGTAGTATTAGTATTGGTAGTGGTAGTTGTGGTGGTGGTATTGGTGTTGGTGGTAGCAGTGGTAGTATTAGTTATAGTAGTAGTGATATTGGTGGTGGTAGTATTAGTGGTAGTGGTTATGGTGGTAATTAAGCGATAATTGCAAAGTGAAAGTCCTTCTTTTTCTGTGGACTAAAAAGACAATTTGAACTGAGCTTTCGTAGATCATATTGCATATTTCGTTTGTTTGGGACTTTTTGTTCCTTGTGAATTCATAAAGGGGTAAATTAACGGGATATTTTTGTTAGGGTAGCAGCGTACGGATCAACAACGGACGTGTTTCAGCACAGAGCCTTTATCAGCGCTTTGTTTGTCATCTATTTTCTTTTTGCGCTTGTGCACCTGAAGTTTTATTTCTGTTTGAGTGTGCTCCTTTTTTTCTGTTTTGAATTAGGCCTATCTTAGAACCCACAATGCAACAAGAAACATTTACAAAAATGTGGACTACAAAAACGATTATCGATTACATTTTTTTTGTAACCGATTATTATTTAATGAACTCCGGTAACCGAGTACTCGTTTGCAACCCAAGTGGTAGTATTATTTCTAGTTTTAGTATTGTGGTGGTAGTATTACTTCTAGTTGTAGTATTAGTGGTAGTAGTATTAGTATTGGTGGTGGTATTAGTGGTAGTGGTGATGGTGGTATTGGTGTTGGTGGTAGCAGTGGTAGTATTAGTTACAGTATTAGCAGTAGTGGTGGTAGTATTAGTTATTGTAGTCGTGTATTGGTGGTGGTGGTGGTGATGGTAGTTTTAGCGGTAGTAGTAGTAGTAGTAGTAGCGATGGTGGTGGTGGTTGGAGGAATATAAATAGTTGTAGTAAAAGTATGACATAAGCAGTTTCAGTTTTTGCGTCAGCTGTAGTACTACTAGCAG